GTGCCACGTACCTGTAAGTCCCAGACTCTTGGGAGGCTAAGACGGGAGGATCGCTTGAGCCCAGGAATTCAAGGCCGCATTGAGTTATGTTTGTGCCACTGCACTTCAGTGAGGGCAAACAGAGTGAGACCCTGTCCCTACAAAAGGAAAAAATAAATAAATTACTTATTTTTTTTGCAGTAGATGTTTGTGTGAATATCTCTGAATTTAGTTTGGTCAATTAGCTGGATAACTGAGATAATTAATTGCTAATGAGTTCAGTTTAAGGGAGACGTTTAGGGAAAAAAACTGAACAAGATGAAATTCAGGTGCGGCAGTCACGGAATCAGCTGACATTTTCATGCCAAGATCTATTTGCATTTGTCCTAGAATTATAACTCCAACCTCAGAGGTAACCTATCGTAGAAATAAAAGTAAAACCAGTTTCAGCCTATACCACATGTGATGGTAATTCCAAACCCCTCCAGTTCGCTCCAGATTTAGGCAGAGGAGGCTGGTTTATAGTGATTTCTGGTCACTCACACACACTCCTATGCTTCTAGATCCAGATGTGGGACCTGTTCTGGCTCCAGAGCCTCATCCAGGTGTGGAACCAAAATACACACAAACTCCCTTGCCCTTCCTTTAAATTCCTGCTCTTTTCTGTTGTGGTTGTTCAGTTACCTTCTGCCAAGCTTTCCCTTAAGGATATCACCATAACCCTAAGCTACTTTTCAAGTGATTTTTTTTTTTCAGGCAAAAATAGTCCCATAGAATAGTCCTTAAAAGAAACTCTGGTGCTATTAAAATAATTTCTTAGTTCACGTTGTTGAATTAGTTAAGGTTCATTCAGTTATAAATTATAGAATCCAAATCAAGCTAAGGTAAGATAAGATATTTATTGTAAGGATACTACAGTATCTTTTTTTTTTTCAATGTCAAGGATACTGGGGGAATTGAATAACCAGGACTTGGGGCAGAGTCTCATAGTGTAAGACAGATGTTAGAAGCCTCGTGTCTGAGGAACACAGATTATCCCCACAGAAGGAGAGGTCAGTGTGACCTGAGCAGACGCTCCCAGAAATGTGTATGGTGTGACCTGCTGGGTGTCCCAGATCTGGTTTTATTTCTTAAAGAAATCAGGTTTAGGCGAGTCATTGCCTATTCTATTCACAGAATTCAGAGCTCTTTGCCATATAACCATCTTCAAATTTTTAAAAAGCATAGCCATGGTTTCACTTAAAAAAATAACAAACAAACCTCCCCAGCTTTTTACCATATAAGATAAATACGGATGAAACTCATGGTGCCAGAAGTTATTTTGGCCTTTAAAGCCATCATCTTAAAGGCCTGCCATTTATTCTAGCAATGCTGTCTTTGTTACCCCTTTTTGCGGCCCCACTCTGTGTTTCTATGAGATATGTAATCAATACTTAACTCCTGCAAAACATAAAATAAAGTTGTTATTTTATCTTATCATAGATGAGAGAACTGAGGCTTGGAATAAGAAAGTAACTCACCTCAGCTGTCTCATACAGTAAGTACTAGCAAGAAAATTCATTCACGGGCTCAGGCTCCAAAGATAAGATTAGAAATTGTTATCCTTTTAGTAAGAAGAAAAACAAGTTCCTAAAAAACACGATGACTTAATGTATCTGAGAGCAAAGTCTCTAAGAACCTCAATCTACCCAATTCCCGGCTGATGCTGTGACTGGCGGGTGTTGCAGCACCACCTAGTGGCACCATGGAGCTATAGCTCTAGACCGATTTCTCTATTTAGCAACTAACTCCATTTTTCCGGGTGAGAGAGATTAATCGGGGGCTTCCGATTGAAAATCAAATGACCAAATATGTTTATCTGCTCTACCTCAAAAACTTTAGCTGAAGTAGAGGTAATAAAAGAAAAATGTGATTAATCCATAGAAACAAAAGAACTGGAGATGAATCTGTAGCGAACAAAAGACGTCGACAGCACTAGAAGACAGAGGACAGGAGGGGTGATTGACCCCACAGAACACGGGAGGTTGAGGCCAGGGTCCAGCAGGAGAGAGTGACCGATGGAAGTTGTCCTGTCTTGCTCTGAAGATCGCCTGAGGGGCTCAGAATGGAAGGCGTTGTATTCTGTGAACGGAAGGTTGAAACTGGGGCTGGATTCAGAGTCCGTGGGAGTCTCTTGGACTCAGGGGGTTCACTGTCCGGATGGTTTGGGGCCCAGAGCGCTGATCTCAGGGTCAGCAGGCCTAACGTAGACTATGAGGACAAAGAGGGGGAGAAAAGGAAACCTCACACACTGAACGGTGGGTCTTCGTCCTCCTTTTCACTCTCCACCCCAGCGCCTGCAGGGCACCGGTCCTGTGCAGGGCGGAGGAGACCCTGGGAGCGGAGCTGCGGGCCGGGGGCCTATGCTGGGTTAAGCAGGCTGCAGGGTGCGCTGCTCACGCTCGCCAGCTGGGGGAGCTGTGGGGCGGGGTGTGCAGGCCGGGCAGTGCAGGCCGGGCAGGCCGCAGGCAGCACCTGGTGTCCAGGGCCCCTGCTCAGGGTGGCTCAGGTCTGTGGTGTGCAGTCTGCCCAGATCCAAAGGCAGTGGCTGTGCTGGATTTTGTGCCTCTTGGGGTCTCTCAGGTGGCAGCAGTAGCAGTGATGAAGTTGCCCAGACAGGGTAACGGGTGCCAAGGGCAATCCATGCCAAGCGCAAGGGCATATGCTCAGCCCAGGTCCCACAGGAAATGCAGGGTAGAGGGATCACTCAGGCCGCGGCAGTGGGCACCCAGCACGGTCTCCTGCTCAGCCCAGGACCCAGCAGTGAGGTGGTGGGAGTGCACATCACCTGCCTGTGGGGTGCATGTGGGTACCAAGATCCTCACTCTCCCCGCACTGGGCAAGGGCAAGGAGGAGGCGTCAATCACAAATCGGACCCCTGTTCTCCCACAACAGACTGAAAAACATGTGTTTCCTTCCTGACCATGAGTGATGTTACACAGTCATCTTCCATTCATTTAACAAAAAATGGCACAAACCCCAGCCCCTCAACCAATTCCAGGGTTTCTCCAATAGTTGAGCGTGATGTCAGCACACTAATATTTGGGGTCTTTATTCACCTCCCCTAGGTCCTCACAAAGACAATGGTAAAAATATAACAAAAGACCAAACTGGCAATAACCCAAGTGTCTAGCAACAGTTAAAGAAAAAAAGAAACTGTGATAGATTCATAAAATGGAATACTATACAACAAACAATATTAACCAACTATATTGATCATTCATCAACATAATATTGATTGAAATATGCCAGAAACAAAAGAATGCATGTCATTTATTCCATTAATGTAAATTCAAAATAAGCTGAATTAATCAGTGGGTTTAGAAGTCAAGGTAAGAGCTACATTTGGGTAGGAGATGTAGTTTATGTTACATTGAGGACTCAGGCAAAGACAGCAAATTTTCTTTAACTTAGCCTATTTTGTTAATTTTAGGATGTTAATGACTATCATTCTCTCTAATGGACTGGATGAGATCCACACCCACTGGGGAAGGCAATCTACTTCACCTATTCTACAAATTTCAATGTTAGTCTTATCACAAACACCCTCACAGACACTGAGAATAAACATTTAGCCAAATATCTGGGCACCCAGTGGGCCAGTCAAGTTGACACAAAATTAAGCATCACAGTAATAAACATAGTAAAATCTCAATAACTAATGGATTGGCCAAATGATTTTATCTACTAGTTAAAGCTATTTTGATATCAAACCATCCCTGATTTTATTTTTTTCTGGCAAAGGATATTTATAAACTTATTAGTGTGAGAATAACATGTTAAGTCCAATGCAATGTAGCTTTTTGTGGTTACCATATATGCAAAAAAAACTGTATGAAATGAGTATTTGCTTAGGGGTACTCTCTGCAGGATAAAGAAATTCCTTATAAATCTTTGGTAATTTGACACCTGCCCACAGCTTCAACTTCATCTATCTCAGATGCCTATCCCATCACCATGTCTCCTTTTGGCCACACTGTAAGCTTGGTAACCCCATGCTGAATCCTTTATATGGATCACCATATAAATCACACCACCGCCACCCCTTTTTTTAAACTGCCCAAACTTATGTGTTTACACAACTTATTATGTATGAAGTCTCTGTTCAGACTCACTTTATGTACTTTGCAGCTCCCATCTGCCCTCCAGCGGGCACCGCCTATCATGAAACACTGTCATGATCCCATTTGTGTATAAAGGTACTAGAACAAAAGGAGAGTAAAAAGGAACACGATCAGGTTGTTTACTTTTATTTTTTAGAACTAAAAATGAACCAACCCTATTGTCCAATCACGAGGGGGCGGTACTCAATAAAAATGTCCCAGGAACTTCTGCAGAGGAGTTAGGTCTCATCAGCTGTTTACCATCTCCTGAATTCTCCGGAGATGGGGCGGGGTGGCGTGACAAGCAATGAAAGACTCTCCAGAACATCTTTCTCTGCTGACTCCCCCTATGCCAGGATGGCAAGCCGCAGGATGTATCAAAACAACCCCCCAAACATTGTTGACCTTGAAAAATCTCATGAGATTTCAGTAAATTCCCACAACGATGCCTCTGTCTTCTTTCACAAATGAAACTCATCTTCTTTTTGCGCTATGGCTCATGGTCACCTGGGCGTGAAATCTCAGCCTCTTCTTTGAATCCTTTTTTCTTTTCCCTGGACGTACCTTAGTAAATCTGACGATCCAGTGGATTCTACTTCAGAATCACTTGAATAATCACCACCTTCCCATTGCCCTGGCCACGTGCTCATCTGTTGCTCTTAGTTCCCGAACACACGTGACAGAGGGTTGGAGTCTTGATTTGCAAGTTCAGGTGTGCAGGAGATGGTGTGTTTCTTCATTTTCTCTTTCAAACTACTACATTATTTGTGATTTAATTACTTATTTATTGATGTAGTGTTTGGGATTCGTTGAGGATACGAAGAATTAGGTTACCATGACGGCATTTGTTAGGTTACAATGACGGTCCCGCTTATACTTAAAAACATGGAACGCTTCGTACATGCGCGCGTCATCCATGCGCAGGAACCGTGCTAATCTCCTCTGTATCGTTCCAATTTTAGTATAAGTGCTGCCGCAGCAAGCACATCTTCATTTTTTTTTAAAAGCCAAATTCTGAGTCTGAACATAAATGCCAGTGGGATGTAAAAAATTCACTTTCTGTCATTCGTAATAGTTTCTCTTCCCCCACAACAGAGTTGTACAGAAGTCCTGGGTTTGGGGGATGGTTATTCATTATCCCAACATGCAAGGTGCCTTGGAGATCTGGGCACTGTGTTGCTTCTATACCACTCTTTGGGCTGGAGAAATCCGTGGCTGCCTGGAATAGCATTGCCTGGGGTCTCTAGTTGTACCAAAAGCCACCCCTGTAAGATCCTGCTGAATAATCAAGTGTTCCCCACTTTCTCATAAGACTCAAAGCCTGGCAAAAATGGCAAAAATAACAGGAAAATAGCAAATCCTTCAATTTCCTACTAATAGGTAAAGATCAATTTGATATAAGTTCTCTCTTTT